TACGTGAAGATACTTGGGATATGCGGCCTGATCTGAAGGAAAATACCGACAATGAGGAGACAGGACAAAGACCCAGTCACTTAACACGGCTTACCACCGTTCCCGTTCGAATTACAAGACTCCTCAGCAAAGCTCTGAAGAATTGTTTCTCCTGGCTTCCTCATTCCTGGACTCAGAAGCTTTTGACCTGGAAGCAATGGATTCAAAACTCCCAGCCAAAGTACGAGACTAATCCTGCTGCCACCTGGGTTAGGTTTTTTGAGAAGGTTGGCCTCGAATATCTTGATAACCCAAAATACAAAAGCCACCTGCAGTTAGTTACCGCGGACTATCTCCCAGATGATCTTATTGCTGCTCCTGCGTATGGACAGGTTGGAGCTATCATTGCAGCTGCAGCAGCGACAGGTGCTCAAGTCAAGATGACTGACGACAAATCTCTTTACCCAGTAACTCTTGGGCGGCAATTCCAGTTCGACTTTCGGCAGCACCCTACCCTTGGTACTATCGGTGCATACGCACAGTTTACCAGAGAGACCGCGGTGGGAAACCATACGCGGATACAAGTTCCAGCTCGAGAAACATGAATTTAGAAGATTCCCCGCCACCAGGAAAGCTGGCGATGGCAATAAACACTGTCGCGGGGAGATTTGTCTTGAAGATGGTGTGATACTCTTGTTCAATGAGATGCCCCAAACTTCACTAAACCTATTTAAAGAAGCTCACCGCTTTTAGCTTATTGAAGGATTGGGAGACCGAAATCACAATGGGGATCATTCCCTTTCCAGTCTTAACGGTATCGACGACGTGGACGTTTACTGCCCGATCATCATTTTTTTTTCTCGCTGCTACACCAAGCGCCGTCCCCGGCTTCAATCCTGGAAACTAAGTTGCCTCTCACACCGGTGGGACTCAATGGAAGATATTGGTCAGCACTATGTCTGGAAGCTTTTGACAATGCGACGCCCTCTGAAAGGCCAATTGGTTATGAACAATCACAATGGTCTGGGTTCCGTAAATATTGGAATACTGTCATGCCCCTGGGAATGCACGATGTCCTCAAACTCGAGTATCCAATAGCTTATGTTTCCTTATGGATCAGCTACATGCTGAGGGAATCTGATCGAATATTGGCGCCAATACCACGACAACGAACGAGAAATGTCAATGCCTTAAGCCAACAGCTTGAGACTTCTCGAAGTCAAGACGAAGAGGTCGATGACGAGAAAGTCGCCGAGAAAGCTATGGACGACACCATCCCAAGAAGGATGGACGAACAGGGGCCGATTTTGGAGGCTATTCAGGACGACGAGCTGGTGCTTCATGTTTGCATCAATTTTCTTCAGAACTCTTCCAAGCTCCTGAAATGGTTTGCTACTTCTTCAGCCGGCAACCAGAAAGAAATTCGATCCAGGACTCACAGACAGCTGGTGAAGGTTCAGGGCTGGCTCGAAAAGAGAGGGAGCGAGCATATCAAATCTCGCTCAATCTTACTCTCCAATCACTGTCATTCTTTTGAAGGCGCACAAGGCAGTGGATGGAGACCATGCCCCGGAACGTTACACAGCCCCAGATAATCCACACTTCGTGGACTACGGCTCACTACCAGACATGAATCGGGATTATCTTCGTTCCTGTCATTCAAATGCGCTACATTCTCTTCGCACTCTACTCGAAATTTTCGGTCTCGACGAAAGCACTTCACACCACATCAATGAAGTTAGAAAATTCTCCGAAGACAAGGACATCGGCTGACTAGGCACTAATGTGCCGCAAGAGCATCAGGAGTCTTTCCAACAAGTTCGAGATAAGATAAAGAAGCATCGGCGAGACCTTTTACGCTACTTCAGCTTCCAAGACTTGAGCCTCAAAAATTGTGTCCTGAACGTTTATTGCCTGTTGGAAAGATTGGCCATTGTGGTAGCTCATAATTCGTCTTCGGAAGACAACTGCCCAGAATGGGAACGACTGGCAGAGCTTGAAAGTTCGCAAAATGACACCGACGATGTGATTGTATACCGGTACCTAATGCCGGCCGTTTTGTTCCGAACGGCTCCTGATAGTGAAAAGATGCTTCGCTCAGGGGTATGGGACCAGGTGGTGCCCATAATTTAGACCTCCAGCTAGGAAATGTTGTGTGATTGATTATCTTAGCTAGATATTCATGAATTTCAACACGTTGATGGGTAGGACTTTGGACAAGAGGCAATTTCGATTTTCGTTCCCAAATGCCTCTTGGATCAACATCCGTCTTTGACCCTTTTCTGTTGTGATGGGTTACAAAACAGCCTGAACATGCACGCCTTTCTCGTCATTCGATTCATGTACCATTCATCTGATGATAGATCAAAGCCATATTATCTTTCTGGCATGAGGGGGGAACACGTCATCACGTCACAACTCATTAGACGACGTCCGTAATGGCCAGCTTGAAGCTGAAGCATAGCCAGAGCAATATTCACGCGCTGATTGCATCACACTGCAAGTCTTTGAAAGGAGACCGTCAAGAACGCTCGACATACGAGGAAAGTTTCATGAAGAATCGGAGTGATTTACAGGAAGTATCTCGACTAACATAAAGCTGATCAGTCCACACCGAGAGCTTCTTCGCAGCCCCATTTACTGCCCACTGCCGTTGTTGACCAACAGATTGGGCGATCCCTTCGGGTCGCCAACAACGTCAGGGATAGCAAGCTCCAGGATCCTGTCAGTAACCTCCTTGGGCGTTACAAGACCGCCCTCCAAGGCTCTGAGGTAACACACGAGACCGGCGACAAGCGGCGCCGCCATACTGGTGCCAGTCTTCGTCGCCGTGCCCGTGTCAGAGCTATAGCTAGCAGAAATAATGTCCTGGCCGGGCGCGAAAACGTCCAGCTCGGGGCCGTAGGAGCTGCCGTAGATGCCCTCAATAATGTTGACACGGCCACGGTCAGGGCGCGTCATGCCAACGGTGAAGGACTCAGGAAGTCTGGCGGGGGAAGTGTCGGTGGCGGGCTGGTTGTCGTTGCCGGCCGCAACGACGGTGAGAATGCCCTGGTTGTAGGCGGCGAGAACGGCGTTGTCGAGGGCCGAGACGTTCTTGGCGCTGAGAGACATGTTGAGGACGGACTTGCCTTGCGCGCCCTTGGTCGTGATGTCGTTGACAGCCCAGTTGAGACCGGTGAGGATGGCTGAGGTGGAGCCCTGAGGAATCATTAGCACGAAGAAATCTGGACAGGGAGATGCTGTAATTACCGTAGAGCCGTCGAACACCTTGATATCAATGACCTTGGCCTTCTTGGCAACGCCATAGGTCTTGCCGACGATGGTCGCGGCAACGTGAGTGCCGTGACCGTCGGTGTCAGAATTTGAACCGGGAGAGACGGTCGACCCGGTGACACCGTTGATACCGAAGCTGGCGCGGCCTTCAAACTCAGAGTGCGACGTCCGGATACCCGTGTCAAAGACGTAGGCAGTTGTGCCCTCGCCGGCGGTGCTATCGTAGACGTACTCAGTAGAGCCAGCCGCCTTGTGAGACAAGTCACCCAAGCTCCAGATACTGCTTGCCTGGGTGGTCAGATCGCGCTTGGAGAGCGTCGACTCCTGCTCAGTGGGGTCGACAAAGATGGGCTGGTCGATCTCGACGGAGAGGACCTCGTCGAGAGCGGCAATCTCCTCGAGGGTCGCGTCGTCGAAGCTGCCGCTGTAGGCGTTGAAGTCGCCAATCTGGAACGTCTTCTCCACCGTGCCCGCGGACCCATCACGGCGGCGAAGGAGGCTACGCACCGCCTTGTGATGCGCCGTGACGGCCTCGGGAGTAGTGCCGGGCTTGAGCTGGATGATGTACTTGCCGGACATGAGGTCCGTGTCGGTACGGCGGTCAATGCCCTTGGGCGCCGCGAGGGCAGGCACGACGGCGCCGAGGATGGCGAGGATGGACGATGCCTTCATCTTGGTCGATCACGCGAATTGGCACTGGGAAGTCGAGGATGATGACCTTCTCAGGAAAGGGGAAGGGTTGTCGGATCCTAAATGACCTTTAAATGCTGCCATCTTGCCCATTGCGATTGCGGAATCTCCTGTTCATGAGTCGGCCGAGTCGTCCGGGGTTGTTGAACGACTGCCATGATTCTCATTGCGTGACACGGGGCCGATGCCCTATTCAGGAAGCTCGACGGCGCCGTTGCCGCGGGTAGATCCGACCCCGGCCGGCTCCTGTCAATAGTGAAAAGCCGGTATTCTGCCCTCACTGCCAGTTAGGTCTAATTTTAGATTGGTTTACCGTTGAGGAAACTGGCTACAAGTGCCCTATCACATCTAATTCCCTTGATTCTCTTTGTTTTTCTCCTGAATGAGGTTATCGCAAACTTGTCAAAGACTGTAGATATCGTATAGCTGCTCTGTTAACCTCGTATTGATGCTTGAAGCATCGCCTTATCCGGACAGCCAAGCCAAAGCCCCGAAATTAGCCATGGGTCGCGATGGAACCCTGGCCATGGCGACCTTCCCCATTCTTCCTAACGGCTCTCCCCGCCAAGCTTAAAGATTCCTGCGTAATCGGCCACTGCCGAGCCCCAACAATATCCAGCCCTAGCTCTCAGCCATGCGGTCGCATGAGTCTCAGACTCTCAATTCTCGATTTGTAGGGGTCTTGTCCGCGATATCCGTGGATCGCAGTTCTGTGTGTCAGTATCAGCTATTTGCAAAGCCAAAGACTACAGGGCTCGCGGGCAACATCTACGAATCGCGAAAACGAGAATGTAGCTCACTAGACCAAAGTCAGCAGTTCACTTCAACGCCAAGTATTGCGACTAATCCATGTCCCAATTAATACAAGCCTGTTGAATTTCCCACCTGCGATATCAAGCTTAAAACAAGTTTAAACTTTAATGATACGACTTGGTAATACAGAATAAGTTGTCTTGATAAATAATTCCATTTGTGGGGGTCAGTTAACATTGGCCCAGCCTGGCACAGTGAAACCTTTGCAACGGCCGACACCATTTTCCCATTCAATCAACTTCTCAATCGCTTTGAACCAGCCACATATCGAACCAGTCAACCATGGCACGAAGACTCTGTTCCTTGCACCAACCTATTTTTAGTTAGCTAAGATCATCCGGGATGACGTAAATGTATTCTAGCTGCTAGGACTCACGCTGGTATGGGTCTGTTGGGTCTCCTTTCACAGCGAAACCGTGTGAGACGCCTTGGAAAACCTGAAGGTGATAAATCTTCTTCTCTCTTTGAAGGTAATCAATTGCTTTCCTTCTTGCCTCAGTCGGGAATGCTTGGTCATTTTCGGCGCATGAAAGTAGAAGAGGCTCTGTCGTGAATTGGGTCAGCCGTTTCAATCCTGTAGAAGTGTAACAATAATATTGCGTTGAGCCATGGCAACTACGAGACAGACGTGCTCGTACATGCCAAGTTGGCTGCCTCGTGGACGATAATGAAGGCCAAAAGTCCTCAACTTTTTGAGGGCCAAACTTACTTTTGATGCTGGTGAAATGTTCCTCCTTCAACGCCGTTGGGTGCGCAAATGCACCAGCGGAAACCACCGGCTCCCCATCGCCACCAGCCCCAGCGAGCAGATTGCACACAAAAGGCGCACCGAAGCAATATCCAACGCAAGCAAACTTGGTCTCCTTGCCCGTCTCAGCCTTTAGTTCGGCACCAAATCTCTCCTTGACGGCCGCTGTCCACTTGGGAACATTTTCCGTGGCGAAGTTCCAGTGCTTGGAGCGCCAGGCCGCCATGTCAAACCCCTCCGGCAGCGGGTCGGTTTTGGCGTTGCGGTACTTGGAGATGGGGTCGCCGCGAAAGAAGTCCATGCCAAGCGCCGTGTATCCCGAGGACGCGAAGCCGTCCATGATGCACTTGGCGTTGACGGAGAGGCCCCACACGTCCGGGAAGTAGAGGATGACATGTCCGTTGGGCGGGAGGGCGCGCTTCACGTCTGAAGGGCGGACGACGTAAGTGGGCACCTCCAAGATTTCTTCCACATCGCCGCGAGGGTTGCCTTCATGGAGGGTGCCTGCCCAACAACACGGTGCCGGTGGTTGGGCGAGGTATTCTTGATTGCTTGATGATTTTTCCGCCATTTAACTTTTTGATGATAGAACTTGGGTCTTCTGTAAACGAATATGAGTGTTAATGGATGCGACTGAGCTTAATAAATCGGGGTGGAAACGGGGAGATAAAGGAAATGCCGCATCGGTGCCGACTGCACATGGAGTTAGTGCGGCCCTGCGGGGTTTCAAACGGCTGCACACAGACCAGAAGTTCGGTCTAGAAACCTTGTTTGTGAGAGAATGGCGTGCTTCGTTCAGCAACTCCTGTACCCAGAAGCTTTCCATAGTCAAATTTTGTATTATAGAATCTTTCAACGCTGCGGATCTAAACACATAGTTTCTACAGTTGACTTGTCCCCTCCTTCGGCCTATTCTGAGCCGATGCCGTCTCCATAAGTCACCTTCTCAGGGTCAACTCCCCCTCCATCAGGATTTAGTGCATGTTATACATCTCCAATGTCAAGAGAAGTGAGCTCCTTACCGCAACAAAGATCCCTCACTAATACGTAATAACGTGCGTCCGTCAGCCGCATATTCCAAGAACATTTCCCATGAGACCTTTTCAAAACCACAATGAGCTTGCTTGATCGGCATCATGGTCATTTGATAGGTTCATGGTTGTAATTCGAAAGTTGACGAGAGATCTAAGCATATCCTAGCCATAGCCCATATTCCCTGAGACCTATCTCTTCCACGCAGATCTTCAACATGGTTGGCCTAATACCCAGTAAAATGACAAATGATCATATTTATGTACATAACTAATTTCCTACGCAGATACACAATAGCTCTACTCAAGTATGTCCCATGATGAGGTAGACCATCTAATCTCTACAACATACTTAAGGACGAACCAGCACCCGGAAGGTAGTTGAGTGAGTCTCCAGCACTCCGCTTCTCTGCAGCGTCCTTGCCATTTCATTCCCGTAAGGTTGAGAGGAGCAGCTGATGAGTACTGTTGGTTGTGTTTTGTTCTTGTCTCGTCCCATTTCGTATGCCTCAGCAACGATTTTGGGGGTAAAGTGATATTCGTCGACTGGAGTAACTGCGATGAAAGAATCTATTGTCTTCTCTAATTGAATCCATGAGGCCTCAGCGTCCGATCCGGGCTTCAGCGACCACATGGCCTCGCCATTGACAAGGTATTCTTCGCTCTGAACGACATGAGGTTGGAAATCGTGGTGTGCGTCTCTTGTTCTGCAGCATAGTAGGCTTAGGAGTCTCCGCCGCGCAAGCATGAAGAAATTTGGTGCAGGATGCTGTAATTTGCCCTGTTTATTGATTCCCCGCCGGTCTGTTGGCACCCCGATTTTCTCCTTCGAGTGAGGTACATAGCTGAAAGTCATGAGATGATGGATTCCCACTCGAGATTGGAATGCTCTCTGAAGTTTGGTGATGATAATGTTGTAGACTTGGACACTTTCATTGACGATGCAGTCCCAGAGAACTTCTGCCTCCACAGGCGTTATATACATCAGGCCTGAAATATGCCTTGCCGCCCTTGTGGAGAGACTCCGCGAGACGGATTGATGAGTATCTAGGAGGTCAGAATTTTTCGGTCAAAGGTGCACATGCGCCAGCGCCACCGCTTACTGTGGCTTGCAAATTCCTCTAATGATTTGTTTGTGTGACGCACTGCCACCACATCAATACAACCCATGCAATCAGGCTGCGGTCAGCTGCACCCTGTTCTGGATGTCGACTAACCATACAGACCGCGCTTTAGTGTCATTCGCCAAATAAAGATTCGGACCCGACACGCCTGAGAAACATTTTCCAACAAGGTGCGTCACAACCCATGGCGTGACCAATTGACTTTATATTTTCAGAGCGCCTTTCGAGCAGGCTACTAACGTAATGCATGAAGTTCTCCAAATAGTATCCCGACATTGGTTGACTGTTTCAGTACCAGTAGGTAAATTTCAGAACTTCAGCACTGATTTTCAATATTGATGCGGCTATGACTTATATTTGCATGTTGCATCAGTCCAATCCGATCAAGATGCCACAGGCGGGATCCCGAAAATTACTTCTTATGCTAGATATTTGATTGGTATATGACTGCGTGGCTCCAGGCAATACAATCTCTCTTGAGGTGGATCTAATCCTACAAGTCGACCTTTTTCAAAACGCGGATCAAATCTCTTGTGCAAGCAAGGACCTAGTTCTTCTTTTCGTCGCCTTCACTTCTACCTCCAAATGAATCAACAAGCGCTCGACTGCAGGTTACAAGGTGCCCACATCTCGGACGAGCTAGCCAAGGTTCTAGCAGGTCGTATATGGCGATCGGATTACACTAGACATGAAGGGTTGTATAACTCAAGAAACATTTCCTCTCTAGACTTAGGTTGACTCTAAGCCATGTGATAGACCGACTTCCGAGCTTGACAGCTATGTCTTTGCCTTGGAGGCAAAGCTGCAAGTCTTTTCCGAGAGTCTACATGTCATTCGTCATTTCCGCCACCTGGTCGATCTGATCGACTTGATTCAACAGAACCGAAATCAGCCTCGCGAAGAGATCGGGCAGTATGCTAGGATTTTATGCAATAGATGGTTTACAGATCCATTGGAACTTGATGTGCCTGTAGTATGTATTCCCTCCCAAGATTTTGTTTTGAGGTTCACGTCTTGCGACAACTGCTGTGCTGGAGTACCACACTTGTGCTAACCCTGTTCCCAAGCCTCCTGCAGTTTACAATTCCATCGACTTCGCCGTTGATGTCTGGCTATTACGTCGCTACAACACAGCTGGCTTGAGTCGAACGCCAGGTGAACACATTTTCGCCTGGGAAGGTGCTCGTACTCCAATGACTGACGCCTTTCGACGCATTTTGCCTGGTCATCAAGACATAACTTCACCACCACCTGATCAAGTCTTTCCAAGCACACTCACTCTGCGCGACTTACACACACTTGGAGATTTTGTCATACAGCCTACGGACAATCTACTTCAACATCTTTTAGTGCAAAAACACCGGAACAGGAAGATGCGACCCACGGTATACGTTTTCTTCAATGTATCTGCTATTTCCAAGCTACAGACATGGAATGAGCCATTAAATGGGTTAGTTAATAGTCTGTCTTGAACAGAAATTAAGAATACATGATTATGAGTACTAACCTGAGGGCAAAGTGTTCATTTCGACGACCCCAAGTTCCTTGAAGAGACTCTTCAAACATTAGCTCTTCTGCTCCCATCTTACGATGAACATACCCAAAGCTGGTTTATGAAGTATTGCAAGAAGATGCAGCGCAATTTGCCACGCAACAGTCTACCTGCAATTGACCGTCGTGCTGGACGACTGCCTTTTGCTTCAAGGCGTAAAGTTGGTTATTACTACTGGCTCCCACGACTGCTAGATTTGGAAAAGGAGTTTGCAAACTCATCCCCGAGAACTCTGAGACAATTCTTGCGTGACCGTCGGCGTTACCGTGAACTGACTCTATACTGGGTAGCTGTCATCGCCCTAGTGCTGACTCTGATATCATCATTGACTGGTGTGGTATCCGCCATTGTTGGTGGCTTGGCTCTGAGGGGGGGCAAAGATGGCAAAGGGTCACTCGATTCAGCTTGCTGTTGCCGCGACGTAGACTCCATTACAAATATCTTAACGGTAGCAAGTGTGATTACGGCGCCTGCGCCTGGGATGACTCTTGAGCCAGCTCGTATCATAGATCCATCCCAGACAATGATTGTCACGGTAAGAATTACTACTACAATTACAGTGGCCGGGGCGTGATTTCGCCCGGTATCTGATTCTCACGTCGTTATTACGTGGTACATACAGATCGACTTTTCGCACGGGCATTATTTAGACTAAGGTAGTCGCCCTTCAAAACACTGTGGATTGTTACTCGTTCAATTCGTGTCTATTTTTCCAAGCTCTATAAGTCTATGTGTGACATGTCATTCACGCAGCTTTTAGCTTATGCCGCGCTTCCATTCGTTTGAAAAGAAAAAAGGTCTAAACAGTATACGGGTATCTATGAGCTCTCATACTTGGCCAAGATGCTCTCAAAGTCCTTCCAGTTGTGCATAACATCAAAAGCGCCGAGCTCCTCGCTGAAGAGCTTGATCATGGAGTCCAGCTTCTCCTGGCCCTCCTCGTAGTAGGGTCCGACGTATCCCAAAAGGGGAATGCCGGCGTTCTTGGCAGCAGTAGCACCGCTTCTGCTGTCCTCAATGGCGATGCACTCGCTAGGCTTGTAGCCGAGCTTCTCGCAGGCGTGGAGGTAGATAGCCGGGTTGGGCTTGGAGACGGGGGGGTCGATGCTGCTGGCAGCGGAGAAGATGCCGACGTCGGGCTTGTCGAAGAACTGGTCCATCTTGGTCTTCTCAATGGAGGCGACGACGCGGGGCATGGCGGAAGAGGAGACGATGGCCATGTGGTACTTCTTGTCCTTCTGGAGCTTCTCGAGGACCTCAATGACGTTCTCGCAGGGCTCGGCCTTTGCGCGGAGGTTCGCAATGGTGGTGTCGAGCTCCTTGGCGACCCATTGGTCAAACTCGTCGGCGGGGATGGTGAAGCCGTGACGGGCGCAGAGGCCGGTCATCATGCTGCGGAAGTTCTGGCCGACGAACTGGTGCATGAGCTCGGTGCCGCCATATCGCTTCTCGAAGCCGAACTTCTCGAGGATCTGGTTGGCGAGCTGAGCGCAAGCCTCGAAAGCGGCGTTCTCAGAGAGAACGAGCGTGTTATCGCAGTCGAAGAGAAGGCACTTGATCTGTCATGAAAGCGGTTAGATGGATTGATCTTGAGATAGCTCATAAACTTCAGCCATTGAAGCTAGGAAGCTAGTATCCTTACTTACTTGAGGCATCTTGAAGGATATGGAATGGCAATTCTAAGGATGAAAATATGATGGAGGGACCAGAGTGAAGAGAGAAAAGAAAGAAACTTTGTTACTGTTGGTGACAGATTTTCAATGATCGGCGAGCTTGTGAAAGGTGGGGGGTCATCTTCAGGAACAACGCGACGGTCTTTGAGCGGATCATGGATGGAGGGGCAAGTGGGTTCCAAAAAAAAAGAGCGCAGACAGGTTTCAGGAATACGGCACGGCATTTACTTCCCTGTCGAGGATGTCTTATCGCAAGCTTCGTTGCCAATGACAGCAAGGCGTGGACAAGAAAGCTCAAGGATGTTCCTGACAACTCCTCCGAAACTGTACACGGTATTCAATCACCTGGTATCAACTGCACTTCTTCTCTTGACCTGACACTTGTCTACAACATGAGGCTTTGAAATGGCATTTCTCTCTACGCTTCTTTGCGATATGACCCACATCGAGGGGTTGGAGGGGCAGACCTCGAAAGAAACACTCTATCGGCCCGCCCATTGATTCTCTTCGGGATGACCAACGGGAGGCTGAGAAAAGGACCGAAAACCTTCGGTCAACGGTTCTGCGACGGCATGATGTCATTCGATGACGTAGGGCGCAGAAAGACTCCATCAAAGTGTGGATTTGGTGCAAAATGGATCCCGGTCTGACTCGTGAGCCGCGACAGCCGTCGACAACGGTAGACCCTCGACGGTGAGGTGGATAGTGGACCGTTTGGATTTTGGACAGCATCTATTCTGGGGTTGGCAGCTTGATAAACTCTTTGAGCTCTTGAAGGCGTAGCTGCGAAGCTGAGGCGTCGTACTCTCGTGAAGCCTTACCTGGTTGACTCAGACACATCCAACTTAATCTGCCTCGGGTCCGTGATTTGATTATCGAATTGGTCGCCAGCCCGTGAAACCAATTCCTCCATAATACCTCGATAGGTACTTTTATCTAAAGATGTTTGCTTCTCCAAGTCCTTCGAGTCTTTCAAGTCTTTCTTTTCATCGGGCTTTGATGTTGTGTTTACTTCTTCATGTGAGGCTTTTGTCGATCGTGCAGAGCCGCATTGTGCAACAACTGAGCTTGAGGGTGGGCATGGTGAAGATTCGGAGGGTCTACAGCGATTAATTTAGCTGACATCAAGAAAAAGAGACGGAAATGATGTTGGGGCTCACAGCTCTGTCCGTCGAGATGGTTGAGGTTCCATTAAGCCTTGTGGTCTATCCGCCTCAGCGTCGTTGGGCTTGTGCTTGGTCGAAGGCTGAACGGACTGGGCGGGCTGAACGGGCTGCTCCATCTCTGACGAAGTAATAAGCTACTATATATTTGGTAGTCAGCTCTTGCAGCTCAATAGGTAATTGACAATACTCTTGCCAGCGGACCACGATACCGCCAGCCTGAGTACTTTAGTCAAACTTATCTTGTCAGTCTAATCGCTTGTACACCGCTAGTTTGTACCTAGGTAAGAATGGCTGAAGTCTTTTTGACAACTTTCACTTACTCGGGGTATTCTGTAAGACTCTAGAAAGCGATGAAGAGTTGTGACATGCAAGATCACCGCGTCTCATCCAGGTTGAAGACGTGCAGAGAATTCGGAAAAGAGAAGAAAGTTAAAGAAAGAGTGCGAGGCGCGGACCTCCAAGTCCTAAATCGACTCTATAAAGTGAAAGAGGGAGGATGAAGTAGCTGTTGGCTTTTGGGGCCCTAATAATTCAGAGGCTAGCCCACGATAACAGCGACACCTAAAGCCCTAGTGTTTATTTGCTTTTATTCTCCTTCTTGGATCAACTGTGGCCGTTAGATTATCCATCCTTCTAAAAGTATCGTGAAATGCAGAGAAACCAATGGTTCTGCCGAGCCGTAACTTCGTGAGGGTGTGGCAGGATGCAGGACACGTCGCATCGTGGACAGGGTCTCCTTTGGCCAGTCGCTAATTACGACATATTTTTAACAGACTTCACTGAGAGACTGCCTATGGTCTGCCGTACTTATACACCCGAGCCCCTGATCAGTCTCGTGCCAGTCCCTCTTAGCGAAGGAAGGGTGGTTAGGGCACCCGAGGGAGGGAAATGTAAGGTAACGAAGATCATAGCCGCACTGGCGGTCGCAACATTCAAAACTTCCAAAACCCACCACCGAGTTCCGCAATGTCCATTTAATCTCGTTAGAGGCCTCAGATTCCTGGATGTGGGAATGGAGTCCCCGAAAACAATCACTTCGATGACGCCTTTCGAGAGACTCATACACACGTCCCGCAGTCTCTCAACTTTCGAGTCCTTCGGAAATCACCTTCCTCATGGCGGCAAAGTGCAGCAAAGGCTGGAACAAGACCCAGGCTTCCCGATCGGCTCTTCATTCTATTGGCTCCGAAGAAGAGGTGTGTAGGCTGTTGACATTTCTAGCAAGGGTATCTAGTACATCACGCGTGCTTGGTGGCGCGTCCGGGTCAACTTTGGGTTCCTTTCTTCCAGGGCTTGGCAAGGCAACCAGTCGCCTTGTCGTATGCCAGCCAATTACTCGGTGTGTACAGCTCGGTCAGTCGCCTTCGCGACTGTTCCCTTGGTGATTTGATGCTTATTGTCTCTTGAACCCTCACTCAGAAGCATTGGGGGCCGAGAACTCGATGATAATTCCGTTCACTGCGGCCAATGGTATGGAATGCCTCTCTTAGTATGAAACACAACACCAACAGGTGCTTATTATTCTTTACAATGATCTATACATCCTTCGATGCATGGGATATCATAGCGGACGACTGGTTGATGGATCACAATAGTCCTGACCTCTCCTCTTTTCATATAGCCAATCGGGGCTGGATCGATTAGCCGTACTGTCAAAGAGGTCAATTCATCGAATGCGATTTATGCCAAATCTTTCCGCGAACGTGTGCATTCGGCGTTGGTTCACGGCTTTGAAACACCTTTGTGCGGGCTATGTTACTTTAGGCAACCAAGGCACCCCCTTTCCAATTGCACTACGTGGAATTCGGCAGGCTACAGATTCATCGAGTAAAAAATTGGTATCAACCAAGACAATTTCTCAACGATATCTTGAATCGATGCTCCATACAAGTTGTTTCATTGTGTTTATACTGATTAGATAATCTGAGATCCTTCCCAGCATTAGCGTTGAAGATTCCAAATGTGCCATGTCCACAACGGGCTCCGTCAGCTTACACCCCCGCACCACGCCGCAAAAGTTCATCTGAAGACACATTCAGCAACTTCCTCGGACTGACCTGAACAAGACTGTGAGTCATGGCACCACGGACTCGTGAAGAGCTCCTCGCCTATGGCATAGTCGATCCGTCAATCGAGGCCGTAAGTTCACGCCAGCCCACCGTCCACTAACCTTTATCTTCTCAGAGCATGCATAGATGCTAACAACGTGTCTCCTTCTCCAGGAACTCGCTGCCCGGCCTCTCCGGGACCCGCAGCGCGGAGACCCTTACTTTGGACGAAATGACTTCTTCGCGATGCGAGAACATCGGGCGACGCGCTTGCGTGAGTCCCATCACCTGCGCTACCTCCCCGGCCCCATTCCGGAGCAGGTCCGCGAGGATGACCGCAAAGTCACCATGAGAGACGGCCATGAAATCGCCATTCGGGTATATGCCCCCGTAAAGGCCCCTTCAGGAGGCAGTCCGCTCATTGTGATGTATCACGAGGGAGGGTGGTGCATGGGTGATCTCTCTGACGAAGAGGTGAACTGCCGCCTGTTCAGTAGAGATCTCGGCGCAGTTTGCATCAATGTTGAGTATCGGTTAGCTTACGACTTGAGCCTCGTTGCTGAGTATCAACACTGACTTAAGTAGGCTCGCTCCCGAGTTCCCCTTTCCAACCGGTATCAACGACAGCTGGGACGCCTTGCAATGGGTAAGTCATGCATCCACCTCCTCAATTGCGTCATGACTGACCAAGGGTCGTGTCCTAGGCCGCTGAGAACGTAGCCGAACTAGGCGCAGACCCTTCCCAAGGTTTCATCATCGGTGGCGGTTCCGCGGGCGGTAATATCACGGCTGTCCTCGCCCACCTCGCCCGCGACAATAATCTCTCCCCGCCGCTCACGGGACAATACCTCTGCGTCCCAGCTATCATGTGTCTCGCTCCTCCCGAATCCATACCAGAAAAGTATCGCCCCGAGTATCTCAGCCACCCCTCCGTTACGCCGTGCAAAGACCCCGTCATAGGCAACACCGCCGGTGATGGAGAAGCGGCACTGCGTGCTATCATTCAGCCCGACGTGGACAGTCCTCTCTTCATTCCGTTCCACTATAGTAGAATCGGTCAGGGTCACAAAAGGCTGCCACCAACATACTTCCAGCTGGCTGGGCTGGACCCCTTCCGAGACGAGGGACTGATCTATGAGCGGGTTTTGAGAGAGGAAGCTGGGGTCAAGACGAAGCTTGATATCTACGCTGGGCTGCCTCACTACTTTTGGACCAATTGGCCACTCTTGGAGAAGAGCAGGACCTTCGTGGAAGATACACTCAAGGGTATTCAATGGCTGTTGGAACAGAATAAGTAGAAGAGAGAAAAGCTGTTCTCAATTCTCTGAGGCTGAGTATGCTATTGTGCACCGGCCCACAAAGCTACAGGTATCAATCACTTCACAACTGCCGTTTGATTCAGAAAATCATGAGCTATTGAGAAGTCAGTGCCATGTTTGTATGTACTTATGCTTAGATACACAGCAATGCTCCTTTCGTATCATCTGCCAACTTGGCCCTCCATAATCGGTTCTCATTCAAGATGAAGATTTCTCCATTGCGGCCGAAGCAGAAGTTGGCAGCACCACCCTGAACAAGGATCTTCCCTAGCAAAACACCCCCTGCAGACCAGATGTTGACGCCGTCGCCGCAGCCGCTGTACACGTTCCCGTGCACGTCGCACTTGATGCCATCCGGAATGCCGGTATCAGCCATGGCAAAGAGACGTCTGTTTGTCAAAAAGGGCTCCCCTGAGTAGGGGACCAGGTCGAATGCGTAACTGTCAATCTTCGTTAGTTCATTTGATCTCATAGAGGTGTCGTATCCTAGCTGGTGAAGCCACGTAGTAAGGACTCACATTGTTGACGCTCGCGTGAGATCAGTGGAGCCATCACCATGAATCCAGTCGGTATCCGTAATGTACACAGTCTTCTCGTCAGGGCTGAAGCAAATACCATTCGGCCGGCCGAAGCCATCGGCCATGGCCCTAATCGACCCACGGATGGGATCATATCTGTAAACTTGGTTGGGAAGCTGCGGCTTCGGCCGGATACCCTGTTCATAGCCATAAATCGGGTCGGTGAACCACAGAGAGCCGTCACTGTGCACCACAACGTCGTTGACAGAGTTGAACTCCCGTCCGTGGAACGAGTTGACCATCATACGGGTCTGGTAGGGCGGTTCCGCCTCCATGAAGACCAGGCCTCCAGGCGCGGAGTGCGTGCCCTGGGCGCAGAAGACGACCCCGTCCAGGTAGTTGACGCCTCCGTTAGCCATCGTTATGATGGCGGGGTTGATCTCCTCACACTTCGTCTTAGAACTGCCATCGGACGGCAGAGTGACGCGGCAGATCTGGATCTTGCGACCGCCGGCCGCATGGTCGTCGTACTGATTGCTGGTGATGAAGAGCGTATTGTTACGCTCGATGAAGACGCCTGCCTCGTGAGCGAAAGGGTAGTCCTGGTTCTCGTGCAACAACTCGAGCGACGGTGCGGAGCCGAACAGCTTCTTGATTCGGTCATCGTAGACCACAAAGTTTGCCATTGTGAGGAGCTGAAGATGAGTTATGTATTAAGCTGATTAAGACAATCAACGTCGTATTGCCTTCAATTGCCAAGAAGGTTCTTCGAGAAGCACTGCGGGAATTCTTGGCGTCGACGATCAACGGTTGGACGGCGGTTGAAGAGCAATCAGTTGGCGTGTTTTTGTGTCTCCAGGTCGCACGGATGCGGGGCACGACTGCGGGCACGATGCACCTGTTCCTGTCACAGGATAGAGTTCGTGGGTCTGTGGCCAGTGTTCGGCCTGCGTTCGGCAAATGTCTCAAGAGCTGCGTCTCCCTCACGTGCATAGTCACGGGTCGGCATTTACACAACGAGGACCTACGAATATTGATTGTATTAGTCTACTCAAGGACTGCGCGTCAAGATGATTTCAGTTTTACCGGAGGCCAACCGGTTGCTGTAGAGTGTAGACTATTACCATGCTAGCTGCAGTCCAACCCTCGTCACCGAGTCAGGATACGGGAAGTTCGAGTCTTTCATGTATCGAGATCGATGAGCGTCGAGAGCTCTTCCCCTTGAAAGAATTTCTATTTCTAAAGATCAATTTTACCCAAAAGAGGGTATTCTTGCCAGTTGAGCCATGAAGATGGCCTTCAGTCCACTTTATGAGACTGGCTGCATGTGGTCGTGGCCGTACCAGCGCGACTGCACGAAGATGGCTAATGTTGGAGGTGCCATACCACAGATAATCGATTTCAGAACACTGCTCTGATTCATCCTTATAAATCCACATGAGCTTCACTCTGAATATCTGTAACCAATGCCCCTTTTTCGCCGCAATGGCTTCCAATCTGTGCTTTGAGTCTTGACTCAGCACTAACAGCAACCAAGACTAAGCCCTGCTGACGTCTTCGATATCCCAGACTTCATGCTTGCTATCTCTATCATGGATCGTATTTTCAAAGTCATCGCCGGCAAACAGGCGATCAACATCCTCCAGCTCCAATCCCTTGGTCTCAGGGAAGAACAGGTAGATGACGGGCACCCACGCGGCGTTCAAAACCGCAAAGATAATGTAAGTACGCCATCCAATACTCGAGATAGAGATTGGAGTAACTTGAACAACCATCTACATATTCGATCAATCAGCAGCTGCTAAAGTACATCTTTCTATCCGCAGGGTACTCACGTAATTGAAAATCCAGTTGGTAGCACTGGAAATGGACGAGCCCAGTTGCCGAATCCGCAGAGGCAAAATCTCCGACCTGTAATACGAGCACGGCAGTTAGCGCAAAGACTTCACAGGAAGGGCAGAACAGCTAGAAGAGGAAACTTACGGGTAAACCCAGACAGTGGCCTGGAAGCCGATGGTAAAGGCACCCTGGAAAACGAAAAGCATGGCCGCAGCGCCAATGCCAGCTGATTTGGCGATGGCAGTAGAGTTTTGAACCTGGTAGATGAGAGCTGCTTGGACTGCCATGACGGCCGCCATGACGCTAATCATAGACAAGAGCTGTCGTATCTCGTTAATTTGACTTTTTCCTACCACGCTTTTGGGAAATGAAGGGGTGATGAATATTTACCAAAGGTCTTCTGCCCACGCGATCAATCAAGAACCATGGAATAAACGAAGCAACGAAGAACCAGGTCTGCAGGAATCCAGACATGAGGCTTGACATGTGGCTATCGAATCCGATGCTCTTCTCAAATAGAGTACCGCTGTAGTCTTCAGAAGGGGCAGCCGTCAGTATACCTGTATCCAAAGACAAAGAAACAATTTTAGTTACGAATGCGACTCACAGATGATAGCATTGATTCCTCCAAGCTGCTGTGCGCCTTGCAAGAAACACGCAATAAGAAATCTCCTCTGGCTCTGAATACGGTCTTGCACCAAGAGGTCTCGCCACGAACTCGCGCTGTTCTCGGCCTCGTATGTTACCGTCTGCGTGATCGAGTTGTGCAGAGCAAGAATTGTGTCTTCGTCCTCGTCACACTTGAGGCGCTTCAGAACGGCCAGGCATTCATCTGATCGCTTGTGTGCCGCAAGCCATCGCGGAGTCTCTGGTATGAACTGCAAAATGACGAACATTGGCAGGATGCAGATGCACTGCAGAGCAACTGGGACTCTCCAGGCGTAGCTCTCAAGGTGTGACGAGAAGGCGTAATCGATCCAGTAGATGAGGAAGATTCCAAAGTTTAGGGTAGATAGTTGTGCGCAGACGTCTATAATCCGTTAGGTCAGCAAAGCTCTACACAGTTTCCTGTCTCCAAAGTCGGCTGAGATGCCTGGCAATCTCAACTGTATCCGCGGGAAAGTTCCAACTTACAAATGCCACGGCTTGCCTTGGGGCTGAACTCGGCCTGGAGAACAGGAACAGTGGAGTTGACGATGCCCATTCCGACACCAGAGACGATTCGCCCGACAATCATTTGAGCACGTCCATACGAAGCGGCTTGAATGATGGCACCGACGACCATGATAGAGCAACCAGTTCCAATGGTCTTGCGGCGGCCGTACTTCTCGCCGAAAAACGCCGTTGCTACACAGCCAAAGAAACAGCCAACTAGAGTTACCAGAGTCAGCTGACCGTAATCATGGACTTCGAGTCCCCTCGTCGGGCCTACTTGCCTTCGTAGATTGCCACGATGAGGCCTGTCATGGTCGGGTCTGGAGAGTCGAACGTCGAGTTGAATGCCGGGGCATTGACTAAAGAGGGCTGTTAGAAAGTGATCCAACTCCTGGCATTTCGGTGTAGTCTGTAGGGATAACGTACCCAGTCCTCCCATAAGGCCATTGTCATAACCGATGAGCATGAAACCCAGCGATGTGAGAACACTGACGGCCAAGACAAGCCGCTGCCCTCGAAGTTCACCCATCTTGAATAAGGAGTTTCGTCTTGGTAGGCTCAGGAGTCGAAAGAGTATGGGGTGTAGAAAAGAAGCGGCTCGTACACCTTTGAGCGTGCGGTAAGCTCACTGTCTGAACTGAACTAGAACGCTTCCCCGCGAAAGCTGTCGTCTGAAGGTTCTCTGTGAACGTTTATAAACACATGGACACAATTCGAGAAATGATCGGACAGTTCGTGATCATACGCCAAGTATCAAGATCGACGCGGTTAGTACCACTTCCCCGGGAATCCACACAACACGGGGTAGAGCATTTCTGCGGGGAGTTTGGGGTTTCACTGCGGGAAGGGGAGACGTCGAATGCCGTCTGAGCCGTTTCGAGACCAATCGCGTCAAAGTTTTCTTTGCAACTTGCTTCATCGGACGGCAATTCAGATGTTGACACGCAAGCAGGAGAGCGGTTTTCTGGGTAACCGACGCAGGCAGAGTTTCTGCTGGTGAGACGCGTCGGCTACTCAAAGTTTGAACTTTTGGTACGCTTTCGTGGCGTTGTTCCTTCTTTGTGACCGCGTCACGACCTGAGAGTCGGCAATTGACAAATACTCAAGAGACTTGAAGGTCGGCAATTGCCAATACACTATGGATATGTATCTAGGTCAGCTGTTCAATGTTCGTTTGCCGAAAGTTCTCAATTGCCTTGCAGTAGCCATCAAATAGTGTCCCTAACTAGAAAAGGGCGTCTTTGCCATTCCATTTACACGAGAGCAATACGATGCGCTGTGGCATGTTTGGGGCCACCCGCGATTCATGCTCCAGTTTACTGTCACCGATAGCGGCGGCAATTGAACATTCTCGGCTATCAAAGCTCGGCCTTCGATCCGCGCCCTTCTCCCAACCCCTCATTCAGGGCCCTCTCAATCGACCTTATGAACCAACTCATCTAAACCTTTGGATGTCTACCTCCGTACCTACGGAATAGCCCAGATATCCCAGTCCAGACACGACGCCGACGAGTACCTCTCGAACAGGATTAGCCCGTGTTCTGTTACCTACCTATCATCAAGGTGCATACCAAAAGTCTCGAACCGTCCGCAGGTCTGTTACAAGGGTCCAACTGTCAAAATGGTCCAATACAGCATTAGAAGCACAGACAACACCACCAAGGGCCGCCTAGCTCTAGTGACAGGGGCGAGGTAAGTGGCCATCCCACCTTGGACCCCTCCGCTAGTGAGGCTGTCATCGTATGTTCCCGCTGACCAGATAATCTTCACCGGCGATCAGTGGTGGCATAGGCTCATCCGTTGCCCATGCTCTCGCCGCAGAGGGCTGCGATGTCGCACTACACTATTCGTCAAGTCAGGTACGGCATCACCGATGACAAGATGGGGACGGGGCCACGGGTGCACGGGGGACCATACGGGTCTACGGCCCGTGAGGCCACCCACGCAAACCACGGGCCTAATCTCTTCGGTATATTAACATCCAGAACAGGCGAAGGCGGATGCTCTGGCTCAAGAGCTGCGCGATAAGTATCCATCGCAGCTCTTCGTCCCCTTCCAGGCCGACCTCTCCTCGAGGGAATCGACCCGGAACCTGGTGCCTAGCATCTTCGCCAACGGCGAGGTCGCGCAGAAGCACAAGGCCGTCTCGGTGCTCGTCGCCAACGCCGGCCTCGGTCGCCGGATCCGCGACCCGGCGGACATTGGCGAAGACGACTGGGACGAGATGATGGAGGTCAACGCCCGCAGCCAGTTCGTCGTGACAAAGGCCTGCCTGCCCGGCATGCGCGCTCAGGGGTGGGGCCGTGTCGTTCTCGTGGGCAGCATTGCAAGCCGCGGTGGGGGGATCAACGGGTGCCACTACGCCGCTACCAAGGGCGCTCTCTGGTGAGTGTTTTCCCAGTCATCTGTTTTTTGTGACCTTTTGAGATATGCTCTATCCGCACTTGGCATGTTCGTATATCTTGTTAATTAGTTTCCCGGCGGGATGTCCCGGTCTTCTGGGGTCGTTTACGGCGTGACCGAGAAATGGGGGCCGAAGCTTGTCTAACTCTAAGCCGCAGCTCAATGGGTCTTAATTTGGCCACGTTCTTGGCACCGGAGGGTGTTACCGTGAATATTGTAAGCCTCAACTTTCATCGTCTTCGGGCCGAGGGTCGAAGTGAAGTATGGACTGTTGCTTGAGCTGTGCTGACATTGCTTCTCAGGTGCTGCCCGCCATGATTGGGGCCACTGGCATGATTGCCACTCCGAAATCAACGTGAGCAGCAGACATTTGTCGTCTATAGTCCCGTCTTGGCATTTCACTGACATGAGCGCCCTATAGAACCTGGGATAGTAAAGATGACCTTGAGGAGTTGAGGTCCACAGATCCGGGGCTGGCCATTGCTGCCAGCGTCCCGGTCCACAGATTAGGCGCTCCCGAGGAAGTGTCAAACGTTGTCGTAATGTAAGTTACCGAACTGACCGGCGGGAGCTATTGTGGTGCTCTTTTGTATTTTTTCACTTTGTGCTGACCCGTGATCGCCGTCCGTCCCCAGGTTTGTCAAGACTGGATATCTTACTGGCCAAGAGCTGGTCCTCGCCGGCGGATTGAAATGAGTGCCGAATGAGAGGGAGGAGACTCCGAGACTTTTCTAACCCACCGAGGCAAAATAGAGATTATTCGCCGAATGGAACGCTATTACTTGCGAGAAGAGAATGGGAACTTTTCTGCTTCGTCGCAGATGACGAGCAGCAGCTTTAGTCTCGTTGGTGATGTCCACGCGATTAGACATGGATGTTGAGGCCAAGCTCGTAGAGAGTTTAACAGGGTCTCGAATCCTATGCAGCTACCACTATGTTAGTTAGTACGGATAGTATTAGTGCAGACTCTAGAGTGCTGTCAAGTACTCCCTACCGTTTCCCCCTTAGAAGTCAGCTGTGCCGCCATAAAACTCAAAGTTCAAAGGAAGAGGGGATTTGGGACGAGCTAGCTCTCGATCGGTAATACCTGCGAATTATACCCTACTCCTAAAAAGTATACATTTGTGAAGTCTTGAGAGTCGCAAAACAGGGTAGTACGTAAACCTTCACCATCAAAAGGTGCGTCATGCATCGAATTTTACGCCGACAATACCACCGCTAGACAGAAAAAACATTAAAACCCCCCCAACTATCGCCGAAACAAGCCAGCCACATTGCCGTACTTCCGTGGATGACGGACGACTAGCCCTGGATTGCCGTGCCGATGCTCTCTTTACCCCATTCGCATCCGGGCTCTCACGCCTCCAGAGTCCCCAGAGTCCCCCCTCAGTTGTGCTCCACTCAGTCCAAAAACCATCGGTCCATCACCAACCGCCGCGTTGGCCCGACATTCACCGCGCCCTGCCGTTGCCGCTTCCGCCGCCGCCGCCGCTGCCCCCTCGCGCCCACACGCTTGGACCGAAGAGGAGGAAGAGGAGGAGAAGGAGGAGAAACCGAGCACACCGAGTCGCCGACGTAATAATCGCAACACCATGTCTGTGGACACCGCTGCCGCCGCCCCCGTCACCGACCGCCGGCCTTCTACGACGATGGTCAGTCCCCCGCATCAGCAGCACCACCGCTTGCCTCACGCGGTGACGGCTACTGGGAAAGAGAGACGGGTATCGCGCGCTTGCGTCTCCTGCCGGCTCAGGAAGACGAGATGTGACTTGTGAGTAAACTTCGCCGTACCAGTTACCCCTCTATTATATGAGAGATATCGTGAACACACATGTACACCAACATGCCACGGCGTGCAGGCCGGTAATTGGATTAAAGATATGAGTGTTGGTTGGAAACTCATGAGAAACGCCTGCCAAGGCCCAGCTTATCTTTTGACTAACACCACCTTGTTTCCCCCTCATGTAGAGACTATGGTGGTAACCCAGGTATACCACCCTGCCGTCGCTGTGTAAGAGAACAAAAAGAATGCGTCCTAGCAACATCAAGGAGAGGCGGCCGACGGCCCCGTAAGTTTGTCCGCTTACCACAAGCTGACGATGCCGTCTTCCCGCATCAACAACAACAGCAACACTCGAACACCGTCACCGGGCCGGCAGCCTACGACTCAGGACCGGGAGCCGGAGACGTCGGCATTTCCTCCCACCAGCGCTCCACCAGCCCGGCGGATTCTCGGCACCGCAACGACGGCGGCGAGCCCTGGTCGTGCTCCCCCGAAGAGGACGACGACGGCCCGGCAGAGAGGCCGGCGAGTTGGCCCGGCTCCACTTCGCAGCCGGACAGCCCCGGCGGCCGGTCGACCCGGTCCCTCAAGAGTTCCGGCGATATCGAGGGCCACATCACCTCCAGCGACTTGTTGAATCCTTCTGACGCGCTTAATCTCTTGGCGCAGGTTGCTGACCTCGATGGGGAGGAACGGCGTGACGACATGCGACACCTGTCTGTGAGTGATGCTCCGGGTCGGGATAAGTGCAGTCCCAGGAAAGGGTCACGCAAGCCATCGACACCTGCGGCGACCCATTATCCGCCAATATCAGACGGAGTATTAAGTCTACCTGTCGCTTCACGTCTACTCACATTGTATGGCACCTCCCACCCACTCGATCCTCTTCAAGACACCCTTATCGTGGGGCTAACCACAACCAGATACATCGACCACTTCCACCCCTTCTTCCCCGTAGCAGACAAATGCATCCTCACCCACACCCCCGCCACAGTCTCCTCCCTCATCGACTCAGAACCCCACCTCGTCACTGCAATCTTCACAGTCGCCTCCAAAGACGAGCCCTCCATGACCCGCGTCCACGAGGCCTGCTCGCGGTACATGGAGACCCTCATCTCCAAGCTCATCTACAAGGGGTCCACTACCGTTGGCGCCGTTGAGGCACTGCTGATTCTCGCCCAGTGGGCGCCGCAGAGACTACAAGAGAAGCCTACTGTCGGGCGCGGCGAGGAGGACGAGGGCGCGTGGATGCAGATCGGCGTCGCGATACGGCTGGGGTACCTGCAGAGTCTGGAGCAGACAGGGCTGTTGTCGGATAAGACGAGCCCGTCGTCGGAAACGTTTCGGAGGAAGAGGTTGGTTTGGGCTGGTAAGCCTTTCCTTGGTGAAAAGTGATGAGGCAGCCGTGCTGACGTTTGTGTCTTTGGGTCATCAGCTTGCTACATGAGTGATAGGGAAGTGTCGATCCGTGTAGGCAAGGGGTTCTGGTCCCGTGGGCCGGGACCGTCGACAGTACCACGCTCTGCGGACTTCCCATCTCTCAGAATACAGGAAGCCGGGGGAGACAACCTCGGGCAGCTGTTCCAGGCTCAGCTTGAGTTGATACAGCTCTTCAGCAATGCTCATGACATACTATACTCATCATCAAGTCATAGAGCTCAGCTGTACCTCGGCGGAGAGTAGAGTACGTGAGGTATATAGTAAGTCGCTCTTGACAGTCTTTCCATCAGCCTCGAGTGCCATTCCTCGTCACCTTATTTGGCTAACAACCATAGGATGACTCTTTTGCAGTACTTCGTAAATGGAAGATCGTCTGGGGAAGCCTCAACTGTAAGTCTACAACCTTCTCAAGCCACCCTTGTGCCCTCGGGTTCACACCCCATGAATGAGCCCAACTAACACTCAACCTCCAGTCACGCCCCTAATAAAAGCAGGCCTCAACCTCTCCTACGAGTTCCTCCGCCTCTACATCAACGCCTTCGCCTTCCAAGCAACAATCAACCGCGCAATCACCAAAGCCCGCCAACAACAGCAGCAACAGATGCAGCATAACCAACAACAATATCAACAGAGCCAGCAGAGCCAACACCAGAACATGTCCTCAAAAGATCAGAAACAGCAACACAACGGACACGAGACGACGACGGCAACCCAAGCGCCAGCAAGACACCCACCACAACCACTGCCGCAGCCTCCAACGACGACTATCAGCAGCCCGCTATTCGCAGACCTCGCTAGTACGCCCGACGCCCGCTTCATTTACGAATCAATGGACGCGGCCAACTCTCTTCTAAACATCCTCAACTCCTCTGTAGATCCGGCTACCGGGTTGAGGTACATGCCGCTAAAGTACTACCTCTACGTAATCTACGCGGCCGTGTTTCTCTTCAAGGTATGCCAGTCATCTTACCTTTACTCTCTCGCACATTTTGCTGATTGATACAAACAGGCCCGTCTCGCTGGCGCCCTAGGAAGCGAAGCCTCAGAAAGCGTCCGCCGCTCAATCAACGTCACAATCGAAGGCCTCCAACGCTCGTCCCTGAGCCCGCACAGCCTGGGTCAGCGCTACGCGCGCCTTCTTTCCCTGCTATGGCGTAGTAAACCAGAAGAACACCAGCAACGGAGTCAAGGGCCTACCCTACAATCCAACGTCACCATCTCCGGTCCTGACGGTCACGCAGTCGATGCCACCAACACCGGAGTACCGTGTCCGGCGTTCGGCCTCCATAATGGAGCAGGCGGCCCCGGGTCCGTGTCGGTGCACGTACCGACTGTACCGAGCTCGGCCGGTGCCGGTAACAGCAATGGGTATGGAGGTCTCGGTGGACATGCCGACCATCATCAAGGGTTTGGTGGGATGTCGCATGGCCATGCGCATTCGAATATGGCTGCCTTCCCTCATCAGCCCGATCTTCTAGTCAGGGGCTTCTCATGGCGAGATCTAGATGATCTGGGGCAATTCATCGGGCCGGCGGACATGAACTTTTCTGATCCTGCCAATTTGGCGGTGATGGGCGGGTCGATCAACCTGGATGAAGGGGCAGGGTATGATGTTCTCTGGCCTGGGAATGACGTGGTCTTTTGAGCTTCTTTGATGAGCGGCAGAAGGTATCTCAACAATGAGTAAAGATTTCTGAGTGGGAACGCGCCATGGAAGTAGGCTGTAATTCTAGACGGAGACACTCACGTGTGCATGGAAAGAACAACGGTTCATGGAGTTTAAAAGTACTTAAGGTAGTGTGGCTGTATTGCGTGGGTCGTCTTTGACCTAGAGGCCGTGAACGATGTTAGCAATTGAAGAACATCGCACAAAGACAAAAGTCCCAGTCACTGGCGATGGTGATGCTCGCGGTGAATGTGACATGATAATAGATATCCTACCTCATATCTCTCCCACTCAGTCCGGAAGGGCACGAGCCTTCCGGCAGAGATTAATCGAGCATGAGAGACTATGGTAGTCGGAGGTCATTACGCCAGGATGTATATAAATGCCCGTACATCACGCTCGACTTCTTTCAGAGACCAAGGTCCGGGGAGGGAATATGTGGCCAGGCAGCTACGGCAGATCGAAATCACCGGATCCGAAAGACGGTTTTAGAAGAAGCTCGAAACAATGTACCAACGAAGAACTCAAGGCATTGCTATCATGCCAGAACAGCATTCCGCACCGTACCAACATCCTTCATGGGTCTCTGCGTATTCAGCATAAATACGTAATAGAGTTCTGACGGTGGCCATTGACAAGGGAAGGATGTGTATGCCGAGAACAGCCTTACGGCGCTCACACCTTGCACATAGCATATCCATTCCTAAACTCCTTAAGAACCTATATCCTCCATCACTTCAATCATTAACCGTCTTCATTCTCTTCTCGCTATTCTTCGGCCAACTTTTAAGATGCTTAACAAGAACTACCAAAGCCAAGCACCCGACGGTATCGCATAATCATAGCATTCCAAGGTGCCTGTCACATTGGGCCCCTGACTTCGCCATTCTATACGGGTGAAAGATGCTGCTTGGCAGACACATACCGGACCCGCCCAGTCAGAAACAGAGTCGAGACAACAAGTCACCTAGTATAAAAGCCCACAGAGGGAGCGCTTATACTTTAGCTCAACCAAGTCAGGCCTTCCACAGGCTGGAGGACGCCACCACCCAATCGCTAGGTTTACCAAGAACTTCTGCAAAGTCAGGGATTTTATCCACTTAAGGCAGGACTCCCAGCTAGACCCCTTGTCCGTGGTACCCCAAGTCCTATCCTAAAGCAGTCCCTATTATTAGGGTCTCTTCCTCGCCCGCTGGATGTTTCTCTCGAATAAACAATGAATGAGAAACTTTATTCACTACTGAGATAATGTTATATATGTTCCAGGCCAGACGTAAGAATTGAGACCCTTGTGTTTTCGAAAACAGTAGGCTGGCTACCTGTGGTATCAAACCCACGTACCGGGATTGTATTGGCCTGCTCCCGGAAAAATGAAGTCCTCGTCAAACGCTTCTTTATATACCTATCCTCTCACCGTAACGGAAAGTGGGCCAGTCCCCCAGAGATCAACATCAACAGTCCCTCCAGGCGCCCATCAAATATAAACCCCTCAACCGCAGTCCAAATCAGAGGCTTCTAACAAATGACCTCAAACGTCATAAAAAAAAACACGAACGCTGCGTAAAGCCAGCCACTCGAATATCCCAAAATCGAATCGACAGTCTCCACAACCTGCATCCAGCTCGTCACCACACGTCCCGCCGGCATATCTCCACACCCACGCCCAACCCCCGCCCCCTCCGGGCCCCACAGCCCCGGACCCCGCAACCACCCGCCCCGAAACGGACTCGCACCCCGGTCCCTCCGCCCCGAGAATCTCACCACCAAAACCCCCCCGTCCGTATCCCGTCGTTCACCCTCCGAATGACGTTACCAAAGTAAACCGTTTCCAACGCCGACGAGGACCCAAGAATAGAAACATCCAACGCAAAAAAAAACGGGCCACCTTCTAGCCCCAAGCCGCGCCGGTGTCTCCGATCACCCAACTTCCCCCAAATCACCCCATCAACGCCGTATGTTTCAACCCCAACGCCACATCACCAAAACCCTCACCTCTCACCTCCAACCTCAAATCCGGTGAAAGAAATCCCCAAACAAAGAGAACCCCGGCATCGCACCCGCAACGTAGACCAACGTCCGCGTGCCGCCGTCTTTTTCCCAAAAGCCGAGACCGTTTCCCCAAGGTACGATTTGCAACGGTCACCATCTACACGTCCCATCATCTCAAATCACCAACCCCCTTCCATCCTTCCCCCGCAACCACCACTCCAAGCCACACAGCCGGAACCCCTCCGTCCACGCCCACGTCGCACCGCCAGACGGTCCTCGCCTGACATGGAACCCTCACAACCCTTCTAGAACCCAACATCTACCAGTCTAGGAACGCCACTCCCTCGACGGCCTTTGCAGTGAATAGTCTCAGCATGACAACAAGCCCTTCCAAATCAAGGAGGGACTTACCCAACACAGAGATACGACCATCGCAAATCACTGATAAAGCGGTTCATCTTCATAATAAGACGGGTATTTGATATTTGATTTTGAATAGCATCGAGGCGCGAAGAGAAACCTAAATGAAAGGCACAAATAATGCCCGAGTCTTTGAAAAGAAGAAGTAGACTATGGCAAGTCAGACGCGTCTGAAAAAGTTATACAGTAGTGAAGCGAATCGGAGAGAAGAAAAAGATGAAGAAAGATTGGTTTCCCAGCTGATATATACAAAACACCGTCGCTATCCCCATAAAAAGTAGATAAAAAGTTTGAGCCATCCGTCTCTAAGTATTTTTTGGGTTCAGTTCATCAGCTCAAATCTAAAAAAAAAAAAAAAAAAAAAAAAAGGTCACTGAATAGACTGGGACATTGACTGTCCCAGAGCTGAGAGTAAGAGCCCTGACATCTCATGCTCCCTCCCAGCCCTCATGCGAGTGCGAAATACTCGCCTTGAACATAATAAAGAAAAAGGGGAAACCAATGGGAAGTACCCAACAACCAAGAAGCAAGTCATCATGGGCATGCCAGGTTGTCATATACGCCCACTGTCCGTCCGCCAACCAACCGTGCGTCCGTCCCACCTATTCGTACAACCAGGCCCCAAATACCGTACCCAAAACTCATTTCCTTTCCCTGTGTCCCGTCGTTATTGCCAGGGGGTATCACGGAGAGAACGCCTCTCCAATATCATTAAACTTCTGCGCCTTGTACCTCTTCGCGGAAGCGCACGCCGCCGCTGACCTGGATCGCTCCCTTGACCCATTCGTTGTCTGCCACCTTCTCTAGTACCCACCGGCTCCTTGCGCGTTGCAACAGGCCCTCAGTAATCTCCATTGCACCGAGGAGACCGCGCTCCTTAAACTTGGCTTCGTCGCCTTCGTGATCGCCATCCTGGCCGGCATAGTCGATCCAGCGCCACTCCGCACGTGCTATGCGGTGACTGGTGCGACTGCGCATGCGGTGGCCGTCCATCGTGTTTGGGTAAGGATCGAAAGGCAAGCGAGCTTCGAGAAGTGCGTAGAGCAAGACACCCAGAGACCACGCATCGGTGGCGCGGCCATCGTAGGGCAGACCCATGATAACCTCGGGAGCGGCATAATCCTCCGAGCCACATCTCGTCTCGAGTTTCTCGTCGTCGGTGATGCGGCGGGAGAGACCGAGATCGGTGAGGGTGATGACCGAGTGCGGGTATGTCGTCCAGTCAATTGAGGGGTCTGCGAGCTCAGGTGCCGTCAAGTTCACGAGTACATCTGGGAGTAGTCAGCAAAGGGTAGCTCTCCATTACCAAGAGAAATACCCACTCTCGAGCTTGATATCCCTGTGGACGATCCTGCGCTCATGCAGGTACCGTACAGCGCCCACCAACTCGGCAAACATCCTTCGCAACAAGGCTGGTTTGAGGAGTTGGCGATGGCCTGTGGCTACGTCGAACAGATCGCCCCCAGGGCAGTGGCTAAGGACCAAGATGGCGCGGCTTGGCTCAATGTTCCACGCCTTGAGGTGGACCAGGGAAGGGTGGCTGATGGTCTGCATGATCTCGAGTTCGCGCTTCAGTGACATTTCGATTCTCTCCTCGCTCGCTCCTCCTCGAGGGCCGTGTTCGCAGACCTTGACTGCAACAAGAGTCTTTCTGAATGATGGCGACATTTTGGATATCGGAGTGAGGCTGTTATCGGTTCGTAGTAATTCGCTTCCGTCATCCATCTGGCTCGTTGCCAGCATCACTCGACTGAACGTTCCCTGGCCTAGCGTCTTGATTGCTCTCCATCTTCTCTTCTTTCGGTCGCGGCCGTAGGCTTCAAAGTACTCGGTTATCGCGGGTTTCGGTTTGCCGATCGCCATTTCGGTCGAGTCTCTTGATGATTCGCTCGGTGGCGGGGTTGGTGGTTGCGCAATCGCCGGTGTCAGGCCTCTTGATTCTGCAAGATTGGCCTCCCGGCGCATGTGCGGCTCGAGGCCAGAGTCGGGGCCGTTTGTCGGCTTCGTGTGGGAGCCTGAGACGGTGATGTATCGCTTGGGAACGTAATTGGGGTCCGGGATGTACTCGCTGATGCTTCGGTTCCGCGCGTGTTCGGCCTTGCCATTCAATGGTCCCTTTGCGCCCGCACCGTCGGAGCCCTCGGCCACCAGGCCAGCATAGACTTTGCGTTTCGAGGCGTTGGCCAAGGCTACCGCTATTGATTCGCCGGTAGACGTGACAAGGACGGAGTCCGGGGCTGGGTTTTGCATTTGATCCCTTGAAGGCGGTCGCACCCCAAGACGTCTCCAAGGGCCGGGCGAGTCTCCAGATAACAAAGGTGAAGGCAGCGGGGTGACGTCGCTCATAGCCGAGAGAATGGGACTGGGCATGCACGAGCTTGTAGCCGAGGCGGGACCCAGGCTGTTGGCGATGGCAGCTTTGAAGCTTGGGGTACGGGATATGGGTTTGAGATTGGAGGACGAGGTTTTATGTTGGAGGGCGTTACTCGGGCGGCGCGGGGTCGAAAGGGCGTCGTTTGAGTGAATGTCGGTTCGTGTGGGGAGGTTGGGATGAAAGTCTGACGTCTGGA